CTTGCCCCAGGGTGCCTTTTTCCAGTTTAGAGAAATACGTTCTCTAGAGTAAAAATGTTTAACCACAAGAAGAGCACCACCCCCCAAACACACACTTGAAATACACATTCAGGGATATGGTCAAGATCTTCAGCATCATATGCAGTTTGGGCCAAAAGCTGAAACCAAAGTAGATGTTGGAGATCTGTCATCAGATCTCCCAGCTTTAAGTGTTCCAATGAATAGCAACTGTGGGGTAACAAACTGGATTAAGAAGATGCTCCTGATCCATTTTATCACCTGGTGCCTACTCTACTTTCCTTCTGTGTCTATTTTCCTTATGTTGGCATACAGAAGGTTTGCTAGAGGAAATGTGAAAATGGTAGGAGGGGGATAAGATTAACTCCCCTCCCACAGCATCAGATTGCCAATCAGGGTTTCAAGGTTCCATACAGCAGCTTTTATAGTAAAATAAAATGGGGAAAGCCAAACATGATCTTAAGGAAACATATTTAAGTATTCTGCATCTAAGCTAACAGAAGAGGTAAACAGCACCATTGTTTATTTTATGGCACTGATAGTTGTAATCAGAGGTCATTTCGGGGGGATCGCGGGGGATCGCAGTTCCCCTGGGTGAGGTACGGGGGGTGGGGCACATGATGAAGCCTCGCCCCCTGCTTCCGGCCGCCCCGCTTCCGGCCCTCATTCAGCCAGGAGGAGGCAGGAGAAGAGGGAGGGTAAGTTGCTTCCTCCCTGCCTCTCCCCACCCCTGCCTGCCTGGGGCCAGGGAGGGCCTTTGCAGGGCTTCCTTGCACTCCCGCTGGCCTTGCAGGTCCACCGCCGGGCCCCTCATGGGGCTCGGCAGTGGAGCTGCAAGGCCGCCGGCGCCGGCAGCTGGGACCGTTGGGGGCAGGGTGCGTGGCCTTATGACACACTTCCGGTGATGTCAGGGGGTGTGGCATATGCTAATGAGTTATGTTAATGAGTTCCCCTAGCTCTTTTTCTACGAAATGACCCCTGGTTGTAATGGTCCCAAGGATTAAAGACTAAGGTTTTCATTTTTCTTGCCTCAGTCTACATCAAAATCATTATGAATAATTAAATTGTAAAGTTCTGGGCAGGCTTTTGCTTATTCACAATATCTGATAAGTGTCTAGTTCTGTTTGGTGCTTGAACTAATAAATACTGTACTACCACTAGCAGTAGAAATCCTACATTAGGACTAGTAGTAGCATTTTGCTTATCCAATCTGGAATGAGAAAACCTGGGATGGGATGGGAGGCCTGTTGAGATCTGGCCTACAGAAGGAGGTGAACTGTGACCATTTTACTCCACAGTAAGCAGACAAAATCTCTCTCATCTATTCAGACTTCGGTTCTAGAGGACCAGGCTTGTCCCACTGCTTGGGATATTTTTCAGTTTATCTAGCCTGAAGACATGGTCCTTGGAGGTTTGAGACATACCACCTTGCCTTTCCTAGTGACATAAATCTGCCAGGGAGAGTGGTTGGGGAGTGGCTGACTGACTGGGTCTGAGAGACAGTTAACGCCTCCTCGGGAGATGGGGCTTATTGCCCCAGCTCTGAAACCCTGAACCGAGGTCTGGAGGCAGATTTGATCGCAGAAGTGCTACTGGTGAGTGGAAGGTCTGATGCAGGATTTAAGACATTACTCATTCTAAGTGGGATTGCACTGTCCTTGACAGTCTGGTAGTTTGGGGGATTTCTTAGACCCAGGCCTACTGCTGGATTAGCAAGTAGCAACTGTGGCCAGGACTGCCTTTTACAAGCTTTGACTAGTTAGCCAGCTGCAGCCTTTTTTGGCAGAGAAGATCTGGCCACTGTAGTGCATGCCTTGGTTGTATCTAAATTGGACTAGTGCAATGTACTCTCTGTGGGGCTGCCCAAGAAAAGTGTTTTGAAACTTCAACTGGTGCAGAATGCTGCAGCCAGGATGGTGCCTGAAATGGGTCATAGGGACCACATCAATCTTGGCACATCTACACTAGCTCCAAATTTGTTTGGAGTTGTTCAGAAGGTGTTGACTTTCAAACTCCTACATGACTTGGTACCAGCATATCTGAAGGACAACCTACTCCCTTACGAACCTACCCAACGGCAACAATAATCTTCGGAGGCCCTGCTTTGAGTGCCCCTACCTTCTGAGATTTGGCAGGTGGCAACCTGGGAGAGGGCCTTCTTGGTCTCGGTGCCAAACTGTAAAACTCTCTTCCCAAAGAGACTTGTCTGTCCCATTCTGTTTCTGTCTCCCACCAATAGATGAAGACTTTTGTATCAAGCCCTGAATGGCCAGGGTCCTGCCTATCTAAGGGACCGTCTCTTCCCGTATGTTCCCTCAAGAGCACTGAGGTCGGGGACGCTCCATCGTCTGGAAGTTCCAGCTCCCCGAGCTGCGAGGTTGGCCCATACTAGATCTAGGGCGTTTTCGGTGGTGGCTCCTTCCTGGTGGAATGAGCTCCCGGAGGAGATCCGGGCCCTGCGGGACCTTGTGCAGTTCCGCAGGGCCTGCAAGACGGAGCTCTTCCACTAGGCCTTTGGGTAGGAGCCGCCGCCACCACCCTCGCTATACCATCCTCGATGTACCGTCCACCTACCAGATTCCATGGAGGTGGTGGGGCGCTCCCACTATTAAGTCCATGGGTCGCAAACATGAGTTTCTGAGCATCTTGTATAAAGTATAGATTGTATAGATTTGAAGCACCAGTTTTATTGTATATGTAAAATTGTTTTATTGTTTTACTATTTTAAATATTGTTGTTAGCCGCCCTGAGCCACTGGGTAGGGCGGGATAGAAATCGCAAAAATAAATAAATAAATAAATATATTTGTACACATATTACAACTTGGTTTTAATTATTTTTATGGTGTAGTTTGTTTGGGTTTAACAAAACACATGTTATGTGTGTTTTTGTATCTGTTAGCCACACTGGTGGCCCTGATGAGGTTAGAATGGCAGGGAATAAATTTTGTAAGTAAATAAAACTGAGAAGAAGTAGCAAGTTCAAGGCTCTATTTTAATTCAAGTATGGCGTGCAACACTAATACAAAATATGCTGGTGTATACTTGTATGCAACACTAATACAAAGTATGCTGGTGTATGAAGTACTAAGCATTATAACAATTGGTTCAGGACCGAATACGAGTATCTGAGAGCTGATACTCATACCATGAATAAACATTACATAACACCTGAAACTCTCACATGTTTTTAACGATCTACTTTGCCAGAAGACTGCTTTAGTTAGGATTAAAGGGTGGGGTGGGTTTTTTTGGTGAGTTTGATTCTTGACAGTCTGACTTCTGTTGAATATGTGTGCCAGCTCTGTTTTGTTTGCACAGCTCAGTGAAGAAATGTTTCCTAAAAAGGGCATTAGATTACTGGTTGGTAGCTAAGCATTCATATGATTTGAAGATGTTATTTATAGAATGGGCAACATAGGAACGTGTAGTGATCTTATACTTTGCATTAGGAGGGGTTTGCTTAAACCTTTACTACAGTCATGCGTTTAAAAAGACATGGTTGGTGCTCAAACGTTATTTCACTGCTTTTATATCCCAGCTTCCAGTGATGGTCACACACATTTTTCATCTTTGCTGCTTGTTTGTGACCTATTTTAACATGCACTCGTTCTACCATAGTTTTGATTGTATGATTCAGTGAATCTGGAACTACCTTCTGCAATATTTTATTATGCAGTAAGAAATAAAACCTAAACATTGATTAAAACTAACTAAAATGTAAAATCATTTTAAACATAAATAATAGATACTTTCCCCAACAAATGAAACCAGAGTTACAAAACCCCCAACACCACAGAGGCCACTACTGATAAAGAAACATGTAAGTAAATCGTAAATGGGGTCAGAAGCTAAAACTCTGTTTTCTTTTGCACCATTAATACTAAGTTGACTGCGGTATGTTTTATTACTTCAAAATTCAGTAAAACTGAGTTTAGAAAAGAATGGAACATAAGCTCCAAACCCTTAGTTAGGGACTGCATATAAACATTAAAACAGTGCACTGTGCTACTGTAAATTTCCTTGTAGATAAAGAATTATTAGGAACCTACTAAACTATTAGTTTCGATAATTTGGTGGTGGGTTCACATGTGATATTTTACCTACCACTACTGCACGCTTGATGCCTCAAGGCAGTCACAGCAAGGCATGATGGAGACAGCCATTCTCTGTTTTTCGCTATCATAGATAAATAAGTAATGAAAGACCTCGCCTCCATTAATTTACACAGTTTTTAAAAACTTGCCTCTTGCCAATCCCCATGTCATTTGGTAATTGATTTTGTATAATTATTATACATGCATGAAGTCTTTTGATTTTTAAAAACCTGGATCCATCAACCTGGATCCATCAAACCATGAATGGATGTTACTTAACTTCCCTTTCTGCTGCAGTCCCTGAAAAGTTGCTTCTGAGGGCAAGGATCCTTGAGAACAACATGAGGGGGATGAATCCACAGAGATCTCACACATGCCTTCTAGTCACACCTTTGGATTCAAGCCACTGTCGAATTTTATTAAGGACTCTAGGTCTCAGTATTTTGAAACACAAGAAAACAATTCAAACGGTCATCTATTAAGTCTGATATTCAGGGCTCTAGTCGGGGGGGAGCTCTCAGGTACGGAGCTCCGGAAGAGAACCTCTAGGGGGCGGGGCGGTCATGTGGTGAAGCCCCGCCCCCTTCTTTACCCCGCCCTCTGCTTCGATCCTCATTCCGTTTGGGAATGAGGATGAAGCAGGAGGGTAAGTAGCCGGGCCTTCTGACACACTTCCGGTGATGTCAGGGGGTGTGGCCTTCTGTCACTTCCGGTGATGTCAGGGGGCGTGGCATATGCAAATAAGTTATGCTAATGAGTTATGCTAATGAGCTCCGGCAGCTCTTTTTCTACAACAAGACCCCTGCTGATATTTAAAAACAAAACTAATGGTTGTGCCCTTACAATGCTCCACTAAACTTTGTTAAAGAATAAGCAGGATTCTTACTTTAGGTATTCTCTTCCTTGGAAATGTTAAATTGTAATTATTAGAGATGAACTTTGATGATTTTGCTGAACAAAGATCGCTTTTTTCTCCATTTTGCTTGTCAGTAGCATCTGTTTAAACATACAACAAACAATTGAAATTAAATGTGTTGCCCAGCAATTGTAACACTCATATTAAGCTAGCGAAGTACTCCTTTTTAAGTAGTTGTAGCACTCTAATCTACCTTTAAGGTAAAACAAATCTCCTTTTGTTTTTCCCT